GCGCGGGTCCTCGCCGCGGCAGTCCCGCATGTACGAGTGGGTGCTGCAGCGGGGGAGCGAGTACGCCGCGCAGGGCTTAGTGAACTGCTTCGCCCGGTGCCCTGCGGCGCCGCCGTGGCCTCCTTGCCCTGGGTTGGCCTGCCAGGCCTGCGGGGCGTGCCAGGCGCCAGCCTGCCCGGGGCTGTCCTGCCCGGCCTGCCCGGTCTGCCCGAGCGGGGCGTCGGGCGCCGCGGCGGTCGGCGGCTTGGCCTGCCCCGCCTGCGCGGAGGCGGCGCCCTGTGGCGGCGGAGGCTGGGGCCTGCTCTGGTTCGTCTGCGGCGTGGCCGTGGGCGTGACAGGGCCGGCGCTGGGCTTCGTGGTGCGTCGGGCGTTGAGGTGCTGCCGACGCCGAGTTCGACCGGGTATCCAAGGCGGTCGCGCCGACGACTGCGAGGTGATCGATGGCGACGTGGGCATTCGTGTTGTACATCGGGGCCGGCCCCCGACAGGTCTGGCACCAGAGACTGGTGCTGGGGCACGTGGCATTGTTGGGTGGTAAGTTGTTCATGATCGCCACTCCGGATCGTCACGTATACGCGGAGGATTACGGGCCTGGGTCGGCCGACTTCGCGGCGGTGAGATGGGCGCCAGCGATCAACGTGCTGCCCAACGGCATCCCGCCGGGGGACGTCTACCGGTTCCGCGGGAAGCCGACGGCGGCGCAGAGGGCGGCCTTCCTTGCGGCGGCGGTGGCCGAGGCGGCTGGGGAGGCTGCGATCCTCGCCGCCGCCCAGGGAGGGGCGGCGCCCGCGGACGCCGCCCAATGCCTCGTGCCAGTGCCGCCCAGCGGGCCCGTCGCCGCGATCGCCGACGACGCGGTGGTGGCCGTGGCGCCCGCCGTGCCGGCGCCCGCGGCGGCTGTCGGCGCGGCCGCGGCGGCCGCGGCGCCCGCGCGCGTGCCGTCAGCGGTGGGGTCTCTCCAGGGGGTGGCTGCGGCTGCCGGGCCCGACGGACGGGCTGCGCGCTGGGTGGCCGCCGAGTGCTTCGCGGGGTACCGTGTCGGAGATGACGTTCCTCACCAGGCTGGTCCTGCTGCAGTTGGAGACAAGGACATCCACGTGCTGGCCGACGGCTCGGGGCTCTTCGTGCAGTTCCTCCGGCCCGACGGCGAGCAGGACTTCTACGACCGCATCGTGGCCAGTGACGCTCGCATGCTGCCGATGCGGAGGAACCGGCTCGGCCGCCGTGAGCGCACCTGGGCCGACATGTGCGCGGCCGTCACGAAGGAGGATTTCGGCAAGGACTGGGCCCTGCCCGGCGTGCGCACGGCAGCCTGGTGTCTGGAGCACATCAACGCCGAGGGCGGCAGCCTCGACGCGCACCGCGATCGGTTCCGGTCGCTGTGCCTCCTCGAACCGAACGCGTGGGGCGTGGCGGAGCACCTCCACCTCGCGGGCGCGGTGAAGGCCGGCCTCCTCAGGGACCAGCTCGCCGGGGCGAATCTGGTGATGGTGGAGATGCTGCTGAGACGGATGCAGGCGATTGAATTCGGCCATCATCGCGAGCGCGCCAAGGAGGCCGAGTCGAAGGGGTACAGCGGCCGCCTGAGCCTCGAGGAGCAGCAGGCCTTCTCGGGGCTGAGCCGTGGGTCGGGGCAGCTCATGATCTGTCCAGGGCTGTTCGACGTGGTGCGACCGGACGTGGAGCGGGAGGCGCAGCTCAACGAGGCCCTGCGAAAGGGCCGGGAGGGGCGCGAGGCCGCCCGCAAGAAAGGGGGGGACAAGACCTGAACCCTCGTGTTTTTCCACATCTGAGGCTGGCCCGTGCTGCAGCGAGGGTGCAGTGCAGGCCTCTGTATTTCTTTTCTCTTCCTCTCCTCCCCTCTGGGCTTCCCCCCTCGTGCGAGGCCGCTCCTCGCCGCCGCCCTTTGAAGCTTTCTCTGGCGGGGGCGAGCCCTCCCGTCTCGCGCCTCGGGACATTCTGCCTCTGCCGCGCCCGGCGGTGGCCCAGTCCCGGGGCTTTCTTGGAGGTCGGAGTGTTTCGCGCTTGACTGTGATCGTGCGGCTCGGGCCTTGAACTGTTTGTATCTTCGCCAGGATCAGCCGGCGGTCGGCGAGGGGGCCGATCGTGCCGTCTGTGTCTTGCAGGGCCAGCAACGCTGTCTCGATCGCATCCGGGACTCGGTTGCTGCGCTCGGCCCGCCTCCGCCGGAGGTGACTCCCGCAGAAGTTCTGATGGGGCTTCGCGTGGCGAGCTGGTATGACGTAGACTCTGCTGTGCTCGGTTCCTACAATTTCCGGCTCGCCGGCCCCGGTGCCACTCGAGGAGTTGTGGGGCGCTGGCGGGTCGGATATGGCTGGGGATTTTGTCCAAAGTCGATTGCTACCGTCTAGTGAGGTAGATTCCCGTTTGGAGCGGGCGCAGGTGGCTGTGCCATATAGTGGCCCGAAGCTGCGTGGAGTCGCGGCCTTTTTGGAGTTTATTCGAGCCTTGCGCCGGCGTGGCATGGTTGATTTCAGCTTCTCATGTAAGGAAAGGGTTGAATCGATTTTTTGCGTGGTTCCGGCTAGTAATGTAGTGGGCTGCCGCAGGAGCAGCTGTCACTTCCAGGACCCCGCCTCTGTCCCCCTCCTCACCGGCGAAGGCCTGGCAGGGCAGGAGCTCGGGGAGGGCGAGGGGCTTCGCGTTGGAGGGGCCGACCTGTCTGGCGCATTTTACCGCGTGCAGCTTCCCCTGGACCTCAGACCGTTTTTCAGTTTCAGGGCCGTGCGGGCGGGGGCTGTAGGGTGTACTGGGGCCGACGGGAAGGGTGTTCCTGCGTCTGCGATGGTGTGCCCTCGGCCCTCTGTGATCCCGATGGGTTGGAGCTGGGCCCTGTGGATGTGTCAGACTGTTCATGAGCGAATCGTTGAAGGCGCTGGAACTTCCCCGGACAATCGCATTGTAGACATGGGGGGGGGGGGGGCGCCGGACCTGCGTCGAGCGTGCCATTCACAATATGTCGACAATTTCTTCGCCTCTACCGATGCCGCTGCTGTTCGTTCCCTTGTTGCCGAAGCTATCCGTGCTCTTGAAGCGCGGGGTCTCCGTGTTCACGAGGAGGAGTATTCTGGGGAGGACAAGGTGGTCCAGGCTTTGGGGTGGCAGATCGATGGGTCCAGGGGCCGTGTGGCTGCCGCCCCCTCTCGCCTCTGGAGGGCTCGCCTGGCCGTTCGGGCGGTCCTCCGGAGGGGTCGTTGTTCCGGGCGTGACCTGGAGCGGCTTCTGGGGTATCTTGTCTTCCTCTCCCTGGTCCGCCGGGAGGGGCTGTCGCTGTTCTGGTCGTGCTATGCGTTTGTCAGGAAGCACTGCGCTCAGGTGGAACGCTTGTGGGCCTCGGTTCGGCGTGAACTCTCTCTTTGGGACGGGCTCGCTCTTCTCCTCTGGCGCGATCTCCGGGCTGGTTGGAGTGAGGAGGTCGTGGCCGTCGACGCTAGTGAGCGGGGGCTGGGGGCGTGCGCGGCGCGTTGCGGTGCCCCTCTGGCCCGCAGCGTCGGCAAGACCTCGGAGCGTTGGCGCTGGGGTCGTGTCGGCGCGGCCGAGGGCCCTCGTCGTCGCGCGCTGGATTTCGCGCGGAAGGCCGAGGCGGCGGCCGCCCTCGCGGGCGAGGCTCGCGAGGCGGCTCCTTGGATCGCTGCCGCCAACGAGGTCCCGGGGGCCGAGTCAGCACCCCCTCGGCCCCCCTCAGCTGGCTCAGGTGTCATGGACAGCCCGGGGGGCGCTTTCGGGTTCGGACGGGTCAAGCGGGTCGTGGACTTCCCGGATGCCCCAAGGGAAATGATCGAGCTCGACTGGTTGGTCGTGGGTCGCTTCCCGTGGAGGCGCAAGGGGGAGAGCATCGCCGTCTACGAGAACAGGGCTACGCTGTATGGTTTTCGCCATCTTCTTCGCTCGTCTCGGAACCTCGGTAAGCATGTGCTCGTCCTCGGGGGCTCCCAGTCGACGGCGGGGGCGGTGGCCAGGTGTAGGAGCGACAGCCGTAGCGTGATGCGGGTGGCGCAGTCGATCGCCGCCCTGTCGCTCGCCTCCGGCTCGTCTCTTCATTGTCGGTGGCTGCCGTCCGAGTGGAATGTGGCGGATTCTCCAGCTGTTCCGAGCCCGCTCGACTTCGCCAAGCATGCCCCTCCGAGCGCGATCCGCCCCCCCGCGGCCGCTGCCGCTCATGGGGCCTGGGCCGGCGCCGTCCATCCTTCGGGCAGCGCCGCTGGACAGTTTGGAGGCCGCGCGCAGTGCCATGGCGGGGGGCCTCTTCGTCAGCGCGGGCCCTCGACCCGCCGCCCCGGGGCCCCGCCGCAGCCCCGCTCGGCGGGCGCCCGCGGGCGGGCTCCTCTTCCGCCCGTCGCCCGGCGGCGAAGCGGAAGCGGCGGGAGAAGGCCGTCGTCGCAGCCCGCCGCCAGGCCTCGGCGGAGACGGTGGGCCTCACGGTGCTGGAGAGCTCCTCGGTCCGTCCTCGGACCCGCGCCAAGTGCCAGTCGTGGCTCGACGAGTTTCGGGCGTGGCTTGGCGGCCCGATTGCGACATCGGAGTCGGGCGTGGACGCGCAGCTGGTGGAGTGGCTCAACACCCTGTGCCTCGGCGGCGAGAACCTGGGCTCGGCCCAGTGGGGGTTCGCGGCGGTGACCTTCTTCGCGGGACTCCAGAAGTCTGCGGGCGCGCTGATGCCGCGCAGTCGCCGGGCCCTGCAGGGGTTCCGGCGCTGCGCCCCGCCGTGGTCGCGGCTGCCGCTCCCGCTCGAGGTGGCCGCCCTGGTCGCCAGCGAGTTGGCGCGGCTGGGGCTTCACGGCCACGCGCTGGCTCTCCTGGTGATCTTCGAGCTGTACCTCAGGCCGGGGGAAGTCTTCAGTGTGCGAATGGCGGGCCTGGCGCCGCCGGTGCCGGGCGCTGCCAGCGCCCCGTGCTGGGCCATCACGCCGCGCGCGCTGGAGGTCGGCAGGTCGTCCAAGACCAACGAGCTCGACGAGTCGATGCGGCTGGGCCTCGAGCGCCGCGCCCCTCTCGGCCCAGCGCTGAAGGCGCCGTGTCGAGGGCGATGCCCGGGGGCGCCCCTCTTCGACTTCGGCCTCAAGGACCTGGTGACCGCGGTGACCGGCGTCGTGCGCAGCCTCGGCCCGGTCGTGTACCTCGGCGACGTCCACTTGTACCAGCTCAGGCACGGCGGCGCGTCGCACGACTCCGCCGGGGGCTTCGGGGCTCTGGGGGGCGTGAGGCGCCGAGGGCGCTGGCGCTCGTGGGCTTCGGTCAGACGCTACGAGAAGGGCAGCCGGATCGGCCAGGTGCTGCTCGAGCTGCCCGAGGACCTCCGCGCCCGCGCGCTGTGCTGCGAGCGCTCGCTGGGCGCTATCGTCCGCGGCCGGCCCTGTCCGGCGGCCCCAGGCCTCAGGTCCGTTTCCCCCTCGAAGTCTTCTCGGGGTTTGGGCGCCTCGGCAAGGCAATCTCGCGCGAAGGCGTGAATGTTTTGCTCTGGGATGTGGACTTAGGTGAGGAATACGACCTTCGTTTGGCTCGGAACTGGAGCCTCATCAGAGGCTGGATCCGCTCAGGCCTCGTGATCGGCGTCCACCTGGGTACACCGTGCTCTTCTTTTTCTAGGGCGCGAGATGCGCCCCCAGGTCCTCCCCCCTTGAGGTCGGACGCCTCGCCAATGGGCCTTGGCGACCTGAGTGCCAGCGACGCGGACCAGGCTCGCGTTGGCAACCTGCTCATGTTCTTCTCGGTCGCCGTGGTGCGCGAGGCCATGCTGTTGGACATCCCTGCCGCTCTTGAGAATCCTGCGCGTAGTCGCATCTGGCTTTGCCCCGCCGTGCAGAGGTTGCTTAAGTCTAAGAAGATCAATTTCACCGTCGCGCCGACTTCTGCATGTGGGGCGCCCAGTGGAGGAAGTCGACCGGCTTCCTCGGCACTGGCTTGTGCATGGAGCCTTTCGCTTGCGCCCGCTGCCTTGGTGCCGAGCGGGGCCTCTGTAAGCGCGCTGGCCAGCCCCGCGTTCCAATCCAGGGAAAGGGCGACAGGGGGGTGTCCATGTCCAAGATTGCCGAACCTTATTATCCCACTGGTCTTTGCCAAGCCTTGGCGTCCATCTACTACAATGCGTGGGCCTTCTCGAAGGCGATGTCGTTCGAGAAGAGATCATCTGCGGCCCTGTCGGGGCCAGACTGCTGATCGGGTGGTCCTGGTGTCCTTCAGGGTTGGGAGGTGTGCGAGGTCGGCTCGCCTCGTGCATGGGCCTCGCCGCTCTCATTCGCAAAGGTGCTCGTCTTGAGACCCGCCGTCTGGCTGGAGAAAGGAGCTCGGGGGGGTGCCTTGTACTTGTACTGTAATCCTTGAGGGCGGAATGGAACAGCCGTTGGCAGCACAACATGCCTCATCCGTCCTATCTTGGCTCTAGCTTCACCACCACTATCCCAACCGCCGCCCTGTTTTTTTTCGTTTCAGATTTCTACCTTAGTAGTTGCTTTGAAGGGAGGTGTGCGAGGTCGGCTCGCCTCGTGCACGGGCCTCGCCGCTCTCATTCGCAAAGGTGCTCGTCTTGAGACCCGCCGTCTGGCGGGAGAAAGGAGCTCGGGGGGATGATCATGGTGATGATGATGATGATGATGATGATGATGATGATGATGATGATGAGGATGATGATGATGATGATGATGATGATGATGATAAGGAGGAGGAGGATGATACTGACGCCGATGACGATCATGATTGTGATGATGCTGATGATGATGATACTGGTAAATATGATGATGCTGATGATGCCGATGATGATGCTGATGATGATGATCATCATCATGATGTGGACGATCATGATGTTCATGACGATTATGATCATGATGATCATGGTTACGATGTTGATGATGATGATGATCAGGATGATGATGACGACGATGATTATGCTGATGATGATGAAGGTGATGATGCTGATGATGATGCTGATGATTATGATGATGATAATGCTGCTGCTGATGATGATGCTTATAATGGTGGTGGTGGTGGCGATGATGATGATGATGGTGATGATAATGATGATGATGATGTTGATGATGATGATGATGATGCTGATGATGATGATGAGGATGATGATGATGATGATGATGATGATGACGATGATGATGATGATGATGATGATGATGATGATGATGATGATGATGATGATGATGATGATGATGATGATGATGATGATGATGATGATGACGGTGGTGATGATGCTGCTGCTGAGGCTGGAGCTGAGGCTGAGGCTGATTATGATGCTGATGCTGCTGCTGTTGCTGCTGATGATGATGATGAGGAGGAGGAGGAGGAGGAGGAGGAGGAGGAGGAGGAGGAGGAGGAGGAGGAGGAGGAGGAGGCGGGGGAGGAGGAGGAAGGGAAGGGGGAGGGTGAGGGGAAGTGGGAGGGGGAGGAAAAGGTGGAGGGGGAGGGGGAGGGGGAGGGGCAAGCTATGTGCGCTCGCGTCATATCTGACATCCAACCCCTCCCTCCCATCCCTTACCATGCCGCAGATCCCCTCTTTACTCGCACAATCGGATGTCGAGCAGGACAATGATCCCGAAAGGGTACGCGATGCATTTTAGCGCACGGCATGGCATGGCGTAGAAGAGTACCGCGAAGCGTAGTATCAACCTGGCATTGCATTGCATGCCGTGGCATGGCACGGGAAATGACGCCAGCGCTGCAGCGGGAGCACGAGTCGAAACGAGCGAAAGCGCGGAAACGAGGCCAGCGCTGCAGCGGGAGCACGGTTCGGAACGAGCGGAAACACGCCGGAATCGGCCCGGGAGGCTTCCCGGTCGCCAGAAGCAAGAATTCAGCATTTTCAAAAGAAAAATGTGTATTGGAATGGCCTTTTTTCGGCGCCGCCTCGGAACTCGATTTTCCGGCGCCGGCCGGAACCGGCTCCAGACCGGCCCGGGCGCCGGCCCGGGCGCCAGCTAGGGCGTCCGGCCCGGGCGCCGGCTCGGGCGTCGAAATCGGCCAGGGAGGCCTCCCGGGCGCCAGAAGCAGAAATTCAGCATTTTCAAAAGAAAAATGTGTATTGGAATGGTTTTTTTCCGGCGCCGTCTCGGAACTCGATTTTCAGGCGCCGGCTGGAACCGGCTCCGGACCCGGCCCGAGCGCCGGCCCGGGCGCCGGCTCGGGCGTGCAACCATGGCGCCGGCGGAAATGATGCCAGCGCTGCAGCGGGAGCACGATTCGGAACGAGCGGGGCCCGAAAATGAGGCCGGCGCCTCAGCTAGAGCAGCATTTTGGAAACAAATGCCGGCGAAAACCCAACTCCGGGGAAACCTGCGTGTGAAAAAACAGTACGCGGGGGGGGGGGTCGGATATTTTCAAGCCGTCATCAGGGGAAGAGGGAAAGTAGTATTCATATTGAGTAACTGTGGAGGGAGGGGGGGCGGAGGCGGAGGTGGAGGTGGCGGCGGCGGCGGTGGCAGCGGCGGCGGCGGAGGAGGAGGAGGAGGAGGAGGAGGAGGAGGAGGAGTAGGAGGAGAAGGAGGAAGAGGAGGAGGAGGAGGAGGAGGAGGAGGAGGAGGAGGAGGAGGAGGAGGGAGGAGGAGGGGGAGGAGGAGGAGGAGGAGGAGGAGGAGGAGGAGGAGGAGGAGGAGGAGGAGGAGAAGGATGCTTCTTCTCATCTTAAGACGACTCCGGCGACTCCGGATCCGTCTCCGGCTCCGATTCCGGCTCCTAGCGCGACGGCGGCGATGACGGCGGCGGCTGTGGCGACGACGACGCCCCGCGAGCGCCCCCGGCAGGAGAAGGCGGAGGCGAGGAAAAGCTTCCGGCTGGACCCCTGAGGGGCACGCCGCGGGGTCGAGCGGTCCAGTGCGTCCGCTGGCTCCCCTCGTCAGCGCACATGACTCGGGCGATGATGCGCCGACCCCCCTCCGCAGATCGTTGGACATCGTATTTTTTGGTTGCGATCGGTATCGACCGATCGGCACTGAGAGGCGGTCGCGGCCGATCGCGACCGGTTCCAAAGTCCGTCGCGACCTATTGTGAAGCAAATCGGTCGCGACCGATCCTGGAATGTGATGCAACATCGGTAGCGACCGATCTCGTCGGTCGCGACCAGACAGTTTTGGTATTCAGTGACCACGGTCCTACTGGCCCGCCCCCTTCCTCAGACCTCCGGAATCGCCGTGATTTTTTCGCAACATGGTGCCTCAGAGGTTTGAATTTTTCCCCCGGTGCCAGCTTCTCATCCCGAGCTGTTTCTGGACCGCCACGGGGCCTGGCGAAGGCCCCCTGGAGGCCGACAATGGCCCCCAAACTCCCGCCGTGATTTTTTCAGCACGAGAGCCTTGATATCCGCCGATGTGTTTTTTCAATCCGCGGCCCCAGAGCTCCAGAATCTTTCCCCGGGGACAGTTTTTCGTCCTGGATCAACTCTTGATGGCCAGGGTCCCCATAACGGCCTCAGATGCCGAAATCGAGGAGAAACATCGAACGGAGGAGATCTGGGAGGATGTCTGCTAGATCTGCCAGTAGGAGCTGGAGAACCAGCAGGATAAGGAGGATGAGGAGGAGGAGGAGGAAGAGGAGGAGGAGGAGGAGGAGAAGGAGGAGAAGAAGGAGCAGGATAAGGAGCAGGAGCAGGAGGAGTAGGAGTAGAAGGAGGGGGAGTAGGAGTAGAAGGAGGAGGAGGGAGGAGGAGGAGGAGGAGGAGGAGGGGAGGAGGAGGAGGAGGAGGAGGAGGAGGAGGAGGGAGGAGGGCAGGAGGAGAGGAGTTGGAGGAGGAGGAGGAGGAGGAGGAGGAGGAGGAGAAGAAGGAGGACCAGGAGCAGGAGCAGGAGGAGGAGGAGGAGGAGGAGGAGGAGGAGGAGGAGGAGGAGGAGGAGGAGGAGGAGGAGGAGGAGGAGGAGGAGGAGCAGCAGCAGGAGCAGGGAGCAGGGAGGACCAGGAGCAGGAGCAGGAGGAGGAGGAGGAGGAGGAGGAGGAGGAGCAGCAGCAGGAGCAGGGAGCAGGGAGGAAGAGGAAGAGGAGGAGGAGGAGGAGGAGGAGGAGGGAGGAGGAGGAGGAGGAGGAGGAGGAGGAGGAGGAGGAGGAGGGGAGGAGGAGGAGGAGGAGGAGGAGGAGGAGGAGGAGGGAGGAGGAGGAGGAGGAGGAGGAGGAGGAGGAGCAGCCGGAGCGTCGAGCACCTCGAGCAATCCCCACGGCTGGTTTCTAACACCGCGCGCGCGGGCGGCCCCGCGGCTTCGCCGCGCCGGGCGACCTGCCGCGCCCGCTCGGCGGGGCGCGCTGGACGGCCCGTGGCCTGCTCGGCCTCTCCGATCGGCTCCTGCTCGGCTGCTCCTCCTGCTCCTCCTGCTCCTCCTGCTCCTCCTGCTGCTGCTGCTGCTCCTCCTCCTCCTTCTCCTCCTCTTTTTCTCCTCCTCCTCCTCCTCCTTCTTCTTTTCCTCCTCCTCGAGCTCGTGCTCCTCCTCGAGCTCGTGCTCCTCCTCCTGCTCCTCCTCCTCCTCCTCGTCCTTCCCCTTCTCCTCCTCCTCCTCGAGCTCGTGCTCGTCCTCCTCCTGCTCCTTTTCCTGCTCCTCCAGCTCGTCCTCCTGCTCCTCTTGTCGGGGCGACGATGGGGGCGAATGGCCCATGGGGAGAGCAACACATGTATCCAGAGGAGCCGATGGTCCAAGTCTTCGGCGAGGCACCCCGGCGAATACGCGTAAGGCCCGCCCCTGGGCTATCCGCCTCCGTCGTCGCTTCCGGTACTGCCAGATCTCCCAGGCATCCTCTCAGATCTCTTCCCAGATCTCCGACGACATGATCTTTTCGATTCGGGAGTTTTTCCTCGATTTCGGCCTCTGGGGACCGTCATCGGGTTCCGGGGAGACTTTTTGGATGGTCTTTTTGTCATCGCCTGGCGCGTAACGGTCGTTACCCAGGTCGCACCCCTGTTTCCCAGGTAGCGGTAACGGTCGTACGTAGGGGAAGGGCCTTGGCCCCCCCCCCCCCCACATGCTGGTGCTCGCCCGCTGTCTGTGGCGATCGCAGCGCGCCCCAGCGTGCCCCACCCCGCCCAAGCGTTGCCGTTACCTGGGGCCCCAGGCCGCACCCCCCGGGGCAACGACCGTTACCAGAAATAATACAAAACCATCTTGGGACCATCAACGCATTGTTCTCTGGGAAAGGGGTCAGGAGCTCTGGGGCCGCGGATTGAGATTATCCTGGCGAAAGACCCAACCATATGCAGTTGTGAGCACCGCAATTGTGAACAGCTTCTTCGGTGGCGATCCCTATGGGGTCACGAAGCGTGTGAGGGATGTGCCGACATGGGTGGCGCGGACGCATGTCGACACCGCGACTGGGGCCTGTGGTGGAGCTCCCCTGTGGCTACGAAACTTGTGAAGGGTGCGCCGACACATGGGTCGCGCGGGCGCATGTGGACACACCCACTGCGGTCTTCGGTGGAGCTCCCTATGAGGCGACGAAGCGTGTGAGAGGTGTGCCGAAATGGGTGGCGCGGACGCATGTGGACACCGCCACTGGGGCTTTCAGTGGAACTCCCTGTGGGGCCACGAAGCGTGTGAGGCGTGTGCCGGCATTGGCAATTGGTGGCGCGAACGCATGTGGATACCGCCACTGGGGCCTTCGGTGGGGGGCCACGAAGCGTGTGAGGGGTGCGCCGACATGGGTGGCGCGGACGCATGTGAACACCGCCATTGGGGCCTTCGGTGGAGCTCCCTATGGTGTCACGAAGCGTGTGAGGGGTGTGCCGAAATGGGTGGCGCGGACGCATGTGGACACCGCCATGGGGCCTTCGGTGGATCTCCCTATGTGGCAACGAAGCGTGTGAGGGGTGTGCCGACATGGGTGGCGCGGACGCATATGGGACCTTCGGTGGAACTCCTTATGGGGCCACGAAGCGCGTGAGGGGTGTGCCGAAATTGGTTGCGCGGACGCATATGGACACCGCCACTGGGGCCTTCGGTGGATCTCCCTCTGGGGCCACGAAGCGTGTGAAGGGTGCGCCGACATGGGTGGCGCGGACGCATGTGGACACCGCCATTGGGGCCTTCGGGGGAGCTCCCTCTGGGGCCACGAAGCGTGTGAAGGGTGCGCCGACATGGGTGGCGCGGACGCATGTGAACACCGCCATTGGGGCCTTCGGTGGAGCTCCCGATGGTGTCACGAAGCGTGTGAGGGGTGTGCCGAAATGGGTGGCGCGGACGCATGTGGACACCGCCATGGGGCCTTCGGTGGATCTCCCTATGTGGCAACGAACCGTGTGAGGGGTGTGCAGAAATGGGTGGCGCGGACGCATGTGGACACCGCCATGGGGCCTTCGGTGGAACTCCTTATGGGGCCACGAAGCGCGTGAGGGGTGTGCCGAAATTGGTTGCGCGGACGCATGTGGACACCGCCACTGGCGCCTTCGGTGGATCTCCCTAGGGGGCCACGCAACGTTCGAGGGGTGCGCCGAAATGGGTGGCGCGGACGCGTGTGGACACCGCCTGGGGGGAGGGGCGAAGAGGAGTGGATGCGGGGCGCTTTCTATTCAAAACGAGGACCCTACACCACACGATGGTTGGGACAAAATCACATTGTCGGACTTCTGTCGTCGTCACCATCCCAGACATCCAGTGCCTCGAACAGGTCGAGGTGGTCGGTTATTCGCCATTTTTAGCCGAATGTCTGGGATTGTTGCTCCATGGCCATCCGACGGACTGGGCCTGATCCATTCGCCGCCCCCGTGGCTCCGGACTGCCTTAGAGACCACACGTGTCCAGAGGAGTCCAGACCTAGTGGGTAGCCTCGTGGTTACGGTCCTGTCTGTCCGGTAGGTACTCAGTCGCCGTCGTCACGGTCGGAGTCGTCGGCGTCGATGACGTCGTCGTCGCCGTCGTCGTCGGCGTCGTGACCGTCGTCGCCGTCGTCGTTGTCGTTCTCGTCGTCAGCGTCGGCACCGCTGGCCCGCGCGCGCTGGCAGGGAGCTTTTTTTGGGGGTGGGGGGCTTCTGGGCGACCCTCGTGGCCGCGGCTGGTCCCAGCTGAAGGAGGTGGTCAAGACTTGACCTCCAGACCAAAGTTTTTGTTTTTGTTGTTGTTTTTGCTGTTTGTATCGTCTTGTTGTTGTTGTTGTTGTTGTTGTTGTTGTTGTTGCTGCTGCTGCTGCTGCTGCTGCTGTTGTTGTTGTTGTTGTTGAACATTATTTATTCTAAAGAATAATTATTGTTGGGCCCCCTGGTGCGCGCCCCCCCTGCGCCGCCTAGGCCGCAGCTACATTTTCATCATTTTCGTGAGGAAGCCTCAGAAAAGAGGGTGTGTACAGGATCCGGTTGTTTTGTTGTAATCCGCTTTCCCTTGCAAAAAACAATAGAAAATGACATTTCTTGTTCTAATATAATCAAATTTCAAGAATCCCTTGCAAAAAATAAGGTAAAGTGGACATTCGCGCGCGCAAGACGAAATCCTTCCAAAACCTTAGTGTTCGCAGCGATTTTAACATAAAAACATCAAAAAACCAATGGTTTTTCAACAAAAAATTGTCAAAATCTCATCCCGCGCGCTCTTGCGGATTCGTAGGAAACCCAACACTTTTTAAACATTTCTGTCAAACGGGCTTTTGCGAGCAACTTTTTCGAACTTCTGCGACAACGGTTTTCGAACTTCTGCACCTGCGCACCTGTACCATATGCATCATATGCAACAGATGTTCTGTGGAAGGCTTAACAACTTCTGTGGGTTAACAAGGCTTAACAACTTCTGTGGGTGTACGAACGTAGGCTTAACAACTTCTGTGGGTGTGTACTCCACGCCAGTGTAGTAGCCACGGTCGTCCGCAGGCCACGAAGTGAAGTGTC